TCCGTTCTTCATCGTACGTTGCAAATGACTGAAAAATCGGGTCGTTTCCATGGCATTAAACGAGCTAAGCGGCAGAGCGAGCCTTCAAAATGAGTTGTCGCGGCACGCCATATTTGAATTTTTGGGACTTTCCAGCTCTTCCCGTACACACAAGAAAAGCATGTTGCGTACTACTGCTACTGAAGCTGAGATAGGGATATCCAAGAGATATCTGGACACTTCCGGCTAACCTCAAAATAGAAAACAAATAAAATATTTTTTGAAAAAGAGAGAGATGCTCAGTGTAAGCCTCCAAGAGTTTGTCACTGTAGCACGTGTTAGCTGTGCTTTTACCGGCTGTGATCTCACGTCATCGCTGTTACGTTACAATGAGGCAGATGTACTTAATGCTACTGTTGAGGATCATTCAGAAAATTATTCAGGAATTAGAATTCACACAGGAGTGACTCGTCCGTTAAAACTTTTGTTTTTGAAAACCAAAGAAGTGGAAAAAGATTGCACTTATCGGTTCAGCAACTGTGGCTGAAGAAAACCAATGAAAAGATCTCGCTGCATAATGAGTAGCACGGAGTCTGATGAGTAGGTGGTTTAGCTTCAAGTCCTATCTGATGGAGGACAAATTCCTCATCCATGCAAACTTAGACATTTATCTTTTAGGGGTTTACTTGACTGCTGCCAAATTCATTTGAGAGGATCAGCGTTACCTTACACAGCAGCAACACCGAAAATTATTGGAAATTTCCTATTTGGGCTACATCACAGTCAAATGCTAAATAAAAGTAGAATGGTGGCGCATCCCAAAAAAGGATCAATCAAAGCCAGAATGCTGTAGTCTCACTCCTTCTTTTCACCATTCTTTGACTTGCAGAGTTGAGTGTAAGCTCTTGCTTAGCTCTTGCTCATTGGCAGCTTGGAGTCATTCGGAGAGTGTTGTAATCTTTTTAACACATCTTTCTCAATCCAGGTTTTAGACACTTAGCAACTTCGGAATGCACTATCTGAGCGCTAACAACGTTTAACTGACTTGGACGCAAGCAATGCCTGCGAGTTATAGAAGGTTTCAGAAGGCTCGCTCCTTTGAAATGTACTTCACAAATAATATGTGCCTGGTTGACTTTTGACGTGTCAGATTTTTGGATTCGAATAACAGAAAGGACAGATGGATTATTGAAATGAATTCCTGTTGTGCCTATTTGAATTGCGACCTTATGTTGTGGAAGCGAGAACTGTTTTAATAAACCGATGTTGTGGCGTTCAGGATGCCGGTATAAAACTCGTGGTCCACCAAATCGGCTCCAGGATCCAACGATGCTTACTGTCTACTTGATGTTCTTTCTTCTCGGTGAGTTTCTTGGACAAGTTTTTCTGTCTTTCGAAAAATAGAAAAAAAGAAAAAAATAGAGAATCACATTTTCTGAAATGATTCTTTCCAGCTTTCACTGTAGCCAGAGATGCGACAAATAGCGTCGATTCGGGTTAGTGAAACTAATTTCTTAGTGATGAATCAATTTGATTGCTGAATTTCAGGTGACACACCGTCAGTCGAAGTAAGTTTATTTTTTCTGAACATTACGAAATTTTCTATGATATAGGCTGCCCAGGCAACAATTTTTGTTTTTGACATCCATCGCACCACATCCGACCTTACTGCCTGTTAAGGCTTTAATTTTTGCGCTTCCAATGATTTCTGTAGCTCCCTTTCCACTTTCTGTTCCTTTCGCAGCTGAGCCATCAGTACGGAGCGCTCCTTATACACTATTTGTACCCCAGGACTTGTCTCTGATAAGTCCGAACATTCTCTATATATAGTTTTTGCCTGAAAGTTGGATGTGAATCAGTCATTCCGTGTTTCTGCCTCTAATCTAGCAACAAAATCCCAGCAATAATCAGTCACCTTCTTCCAGACACCAGATTTCTCCCCGGAATCACCAGATTCCCCTGAAAGCGGACGTGGCAGAAGAGCCGCGTTTAGTCCTCATCAGAAAGTGATGGTCGCTTCTCGAAATCGGGCAAAAGCCCTAATTTGAACGTTGCGATAAGTATTGCTTAGCATTCCGCCGAATAATGTTTAACACTTATTCTGTGCTATTAACCTTTCCGTAATAAACTTTCTGTTTGCTTCTGTGATGTTATAATTACTTATGTCATAAGGTTACCACATCGAACAATAATACCATCAGAATGAAATGACTCCAAAGGGAAGCCAAAATGTTTACTAGATGGATTGCGAAGTTCATGCGCACGCCCAAGTTTCTGGAGTGATTTGGCCCCCTTTTTTCGAGATCCATTTCTTGGAAGGTTTTGATTGATGGCTAAGATTGAGAAGTGGTAGAGAATGAGGTGAAAAATAGACATGTTTTGAAAACTATGTTCCTCTTATGTTTCTCGACAAGGTGCACCAGATGAGGTTTGCTCATTCTGCATTGATAGGCCCTGTTCGCCCAAAGGGTAAAGTGGCAAATCAGTACAGTGGTACATAATTTTTGCGAGCAAATAGAATCACAGCTTCCGAAAGGAGTCATCCGGAGCCAGGAAATGCTGGAACCTCATTCCTCCACCATCTTCGTTTTAATGTTGTGGTATACGGTACTGGATGGGGCGAGGATGCAGTCGTAGCAAGGGATGAGGATTCCGGAGATGGAATGGAGTTCCTAGTTGAGAAAACAAGTTTCATCGTGAGATTACTTGGAGAACTCTCAGCGCTCCGAGCTCCTTCCCACCCTCCGGGCATGGATAACAATCTTGTAGGAAACCTTCCCAGAAAACACAAAACCACATTCCATAGACAGTCGAAGGTAGGTCACGCAGAGCCAAAGGCGCGGCATGGGAAGAAGTGCGTCTTAGAGCGACCACGTATCAGGGGATGCATCAGCTTAAATAGGAAGAATCAGGTTGAAGCGTGCGATTCTGGAATAGAGACGCGACTGATAAAATGGTATGCAGGAATAAGTCAGAAAATCGAAAAAATTCTAGTCAGAGGACTCTGTGGACCAATAGCGTAGCAGTCCTTTTCCGTTTTTTTTAAATTGACCAAAACAAATGTGCTCTTTTTGGCTCTCTTCGAGTTGTTCGGCCGAATCAGTGTCAAGCCAGGGATTCATAGGATGAGATGGAATTGATTTTTCCGGGAAGGATTTCTTCGCTCCCCTTACCTTGCCAACATACACTCTCAAGTAAACTACGGCAACACAGAATTCATGGATGAGACGCTGACGCTGACATCGTCACAAGTTGGGAAATCGACGGTATGTGAAGTAGCATACTACAGCCTGACTGGTTTGAATCGGAATGTCAAAATGATCGATGCACTTTCGATGATAGCGAAAACTCAGAGCAAATTGAGTAGATGATGCTCAGAAATTTTAAAACAAAATCGCTGTACAGGGGTGAGGCCAGAAGTCCATGGTTGCGTCGCGCTGATCTCATACGGGGGCTTTTAACCGAGCTCACGAGAAGGGTACATGCATGCGAATAGCAAGAGTATCGAGTATCGGCGTCATCGATATTCTTCCCATAAAAGGTGAGTGGAAAATGAACTGGGAAACGAGTAGGGATTCAAACTTCATAAACGAAGCTAGATAGTCGGGGAAGAGTAGGATTCCATCCAATGCTTCCTGCTTCAACAAAAATCCGACTTGGATCGGAATGGGCGGCATTTACGAGTCATACAACATTGAAACTATGAAGTTCAAATGCGCAAATTCGAAAACAGTGGCTCGTGCGTGGCACATCCCAGAGCCGGAGCTTGCTAGCAGGTCAAGCGAGGCGTCGAGGAAAATTCGGAAATACGACCCCCCCCCTCTCTCTGCGTAAGGCCGAAGTCCATGAAACAACCCTCTTTAAAAGCCGAACTATGAAAAAGTTGTTTAATTCTCCACCAAAACTGCTCAAAAAAGCCCTGCTACCCCATCGTCCACAAAAAACTCGTTTAAAAAGTATAAAAGTGAAAAAGTCAAAGAATGATCATTAATGACGAGTCCTGTCAAACGAGCAAACGAGAAACGGAGCAAAAAACGTCAAACTAGTCACTAGAAATGGCGTACTATGACAACACCTCTTCTTTGTTTATTTCCTCCACAAGACTTACCAAATTCTAGTACTACACAGATTATGGTTCTCAATTTACACGTCCCCCTTTCGCTCAAAGGAAGCCTTGTAAAAGCCTTCGCCAGCTGTGTGTTGACTGGACTTTGGCGTTGACCGTGGAGCAGCTTATTTACTATTGAAATTTGAACAAATATTCAAATGATTATAACTTTCTTCAAAGTTAACGAATTTTCAATCTGAAAGCTGATTTGGGAGTTTTGTGAAGAGCTTTTTCTAATCAGTACTGAAATTACAGGAAGTTATAAGAAATAACAAATTTAGATCAAATAACGAGGAAAATTCGACGAGCAGCTCGAGTTTTTACACTTTCCGGAGCAATAACTTGCTTCATTTCCGTCGAATTCAAAAAGTTGATACGTCATACAAAACTAGAAGATTTTTTCTGGGCGGACGTATAGAAGCGTGTCGCCTAAATGCTATAGCTTGCATCGTTTCAGACTCGAAAATGGCCGAACGTTATACGAAGGATTTTCGCAAAATTAACGAGGAAAATTCGTGATGAGTGCGAGTTTTTACGCTTTCCAAAGCCATAACTCCGTTCAAACTCATGCAATCTGGAAAGTTAATACGTCATCATAAACTAGAAGATTTGCTCTTTCTAGAGGCAACTAAAACTGCTAAATACGTTCACTATTTAAAAAATGGCCACGTTGAGGATTTTTGCCCGAGTACCGCCGAAAGGTACTTTTTCGCTACATTAGCACTATCCCAACGACTATAGCTCCTTGCAGGAGCGATTACATACTGAAGTAGGAGCAGATTCAAAATCCTCGTGCTTTTCTCTCTGCAAAAAGTGTAAAATTGTTTAGCGGGTCTCAAACTTTAAAAATTACATGCTTGTGAATTTGACGCTGAAGGCTGCGTTTCTTGTTGAATAGTGTACTCCTCTCTGTAATTTAACATGAACTCTTTCAGAACCCTCTTGATTCTTCCTGAATTAAGATTCGTTATCAAGATAGCCGTAGCTGAAGCGCGCGCAACCAACTGGGCCCACTCTGGGATGCGCCGTGTGCTTCACAGTGCTCGTTTGGATTCTGAGACCGCCTACTTGAAAGATAAAATATCCCTAGAAAACGTGCGAATTTCGGATCCTTTGACTTGTGTGGTGATGAAACACTAAAGTCACTAAGAATTGCTAAGCGGACACCTCTAAATCACGAAGATTTTGTGTGGACGGAATCAATTGTTATTGGAAATACTCTGGCCTGGTATCGATTCGATCCTTAATGTTTGTCCTCCGACGATGATCCTACTGTATCAATCGGGCCCGATCTCCCCAGCGGGCCAATACGACCCCCCCCCTCTGTGA